ATGCTCAACAACCCATACATTCACAACGTACTAGCAACCTTGGCAGCGATTAGCAATGACGAATGGGATATTCTTGTTTCTGGGCGCTTTGATGGATTTTTGCGAAGCGGCGCGGAGGACAACTTCAATCCGTCAATGACAGCATCTGCTCCCCCAAGAACAGCCAGCCGATCTGGCACTCCTTTCCGACCTGGTTCATCTCGAGGACCGACGCCATTCCAGATGGACCCCAATTATCGACCAGTCAGTCAACCTTATGGGTCTTCAGCCTCTGTCGCCTCGTACGGCGCTCCTATTGCGCTAGATGAAGAGACGGAGATTGCGGCGCTGGCTGAAATCGAGAGGGACATTTACCTGAGTATGGAGTCGCTGGAGGATGCGTTTGAGGCGCTGCACTGCAAAGCCGAAGTCGTCCGACGTGCACTGCGCGAACGGGGAGCTGGCTTATCGGTTGCAAGCCAAGCACGCCGTGGATCCGCCGGCAACCTCGATGCGAGAATGGGCACACCGGCATCGATGTTTGGGGGAACATGGGACAACGGCGGAATAGACGAAGACGATGGGATTGATGACGACATGTCGCTTGCCCCAGACGACTCTGCGAGCAACATCAGCTCCAACCGCCGTCGTCGACCGAAACGACGAAGCGAGCGACGCACGCCGGCTCCGGTAGAGGAGGAGGACGAGGAAGAGGATGACTATCACGCTAGACGAGATCGACGCCGGTAGTCGATTCGTACGAATAATTTTTTTCGCTTTACACTGCATAGCAGAGTCACAGTATGCATGCATGCATTATGACCTGATGATACCACTTGAATGATCATGATTGGATTCGTTTGCCTTTTAACTGTGACGAATATTAGGACAGACTGTAGTAACTGAGATACTTGGTTGTTGCAATGATGCAAATAACAATATCATTGATGCGAATAACATTCACCTGCATTCATGGGCGGTGCGTGACATTCTGATGTCCGCTTGCATGGTTGATTATTTCTGGTTTAGAAATAATTTTCCATCTGCCATCACAATGCTATAACATTTGAACAATAAGCAGTAATAAATTTACCCACTGGCTAGGAAATGACAGAAAATCATTGTATCCTTTGTAACCTCCAATTGCGCCGCCATTTCTATCAATGTCTTAACGACAAAAAAAAAAAAAAAAAAAAAAAA